ACTGTCTCAGCATAGATGGAGGGAGGCAGATGGCGTGTGATGGTAGACTACTCAGGATAAGTCATCACTCTCTTGCAGGACAAATGAAGAAACAGACAATTGTGCATACTTCTGTAGCCAGCTGAGATACAACAGTCAAATGAACACTGATGTCTTTAAACTGTGAGAAGAAAGCCAGTGTGGAGTGTTAACCACCTTGTAGCACTTCCCTCTAACCAAGATTGTAGTTTCAAACTTGTGCTGAAAATGTTTCAATAAATCATGGAATATATACAAAGTCTAAAGCCATTGCATGTGCACGGAAGTGCATATTTAGGCCAGACATGTAAAGTGTGAATATATGTTACCCATAAGCTCATCACTATTAACCTTTTAAAAGCAGTCAGCCCAAATATATGCATGTATATATATAAACAGAGCAGATTTGGGCTGGCTATATATATATATTTATATATACACCAACTAAATTGGTGATTCTGAGGCCCAGTGGAGAAAGATCTGTTTGAGATCTTTTTATATCCCATACTTTTCGCTGTTAAACATCGACCCAGCACTGCTCACAGCATTGTTTTTTTCCAAGACCGATCTGAAGGCCTCATTTGTATGTTTTGTTGGACCTCCTGAACACAATGGAAAATGGAAACAAAGGTCAGTGTTAAGTCTCCCCTGGCTTTGTTCTTTAAAACAACAATATTTATCGATCTGCCCTGAATGATAAACACAAATGTTTTGGTATAACACAGTCTCTTTTGACCTTTAGCAATTACTTTTACATGGCTTTAGTGTTACACCAGATGGGGACAAAATGTCCCACATATTTTCTGTTGTGCTTTCCTTTTGTGGGACCACAGGAACAACTTGCACCTGTGTTATAAGGTCGGATTTATCTCACTCTGCTGCTTGACAAACTCTTATAGAATTTTGACGAATGTCTGTGGTAGGTTTGCATCTAATTTACCAGCAGCTTTAATAGCTTGAGAAAGGGTGCAAATGGAAATGTTAAACTAGCCCTATAGAAACACATACTTAACAGTTTTTCTGCATGACTGTTGAGCATAGTTATCTCCTGGTTGGTGTAACCAAGTGACACCGTTGGAGTGTGTAGTGATGACCCCTGATTGCATGCTCTTGACCCTTTCCCTGACCCCAAGAGTTTGAGATTACAATCCTAGACAGTTTTGGTGGGCTACGTCTGTTTGTGAACATGGCCAACAAAAAAAGTAAAACTAGAAGTCTCATTACCTTTTTCATTTTTTGCTGTGTTATTTCAGACCTTCGCCACCACGTAGTGAAAAATGTTTCTTTGATCTAATTTTTTAGTCATTCTGAGTTTGACAGAGCCGTTGAGTCTCAGATGACTGAGATGATGAAAAGCAAAATACACCTCTGCCTTAAACCTTTTGACCCGTGGAAAGATTACGGGGAGGTGATGGCAGCAGGGCGCTGATAAAGGCCAGTCACTGGGGCCTAAAGGTGCGTCCTGCACATGTCCTTATGGCAACAGGGCTCAAACCACTGATACACAAGCTCACACACAGACCATATCGCCAAGCAGCGGAGGAAGAATAACAGCAGGTACTTCAGATTGTGAAGCACCGGGGTAAGCATTCTGCTTCTCACTCTGGTGGGATGACAACATAAACAATCCTCAGATTGAGATCTGTCATCCACCACCCAGGAAATTTCTTCACTCATATTAACTAAACAGATAAACTCCTTTGCACTTAACTTTGTTCTCTGTTGTGTCTATAGAACAACTTGCTGGATCAAACATGTCAAGCCTTCAAAGCAACTGACATTTAGATGTAATCTAATCCCAATAAAAAAACACTATTTTTTAATCATATGAATACTCACTTGTAAATTGTTTTGTTTACTGATGCCGTGGAAGTACACTTTTAATGTAATTGGAACAAAAGGCCATTCCATTGATTCTTCAAGAGATCATAGGAGCACGGTGTCTAAATTGACTGTGTGTTATTTTTGTGAGTTTGGGTGTGGGCGTGTCATCTCGCCATGTTACTTTTTGTGTTTGGTCATGCTTTGCCCTTTTATTTAAGCTTTGATCACATTTTTGCTATTTGCACCATATTAATGTTAGTCAATGAATAGATTAAAGATTCAATTAAAGCTTGATGCATGCAAGTGTGACAGTGTGCTCGAGAATGATCTCTGTGTGCACGTTTGTGTGACGGGGAAAGAGTTTAAGTGTGTGTATGCTGATGTGTAATGATGTGTAAATATATTTATGGCTCAGGGTCACACCGGTATTAACCTGACCCTTTCTGGCTTTCTCTCTAGGGGAAGAGCCCAATGCCACTGATTGTTCTGCATTTTAGGGCCTTCTATTCGTAGGCCTTCTACTACTTTAAAGGAAACACTTTCATTTCAGGGGATGGATGTCATATACAACGGGTCAAGCAGTTGGGTTTTATCCTGTGCTCCTATTACTTTTTTTTAATGAAAAGTCTGAATAGTAATCTTCCACTAGAGGTTTTGGAAAATGTCCATTAGGCAAAATAAAACATATTAATTGTTCTACTTCTAATTAATTGTTCTTGGACTACATACTGGGCAGAGAAAAGTGTTGACTTTTCCAAGTGGGGAATCAGTTAAATGTCCCATCAGCCAGGCATGTGCCAAAGGCTTACATCTTATTCAAGTTTCAAACCCCTAATTGGCAACGTTTAAAAGGCATTTAAGAGTGCCCTTTCCTCTCCCTTTTCTCATTTCCCATTTAATGTGTTGTGTCAAAGTCTATTACCTCAGTTGGACGTTTCTGTCCCTTAAGTTGAAAAAAGGGGAAAAGCAACGAGGAGGGTGTGTGTGTGTGTGTGTTTGTGTGCGTGTGTGTGGTGGTGGTGGTGGTGTGTGTGTGGGGGGGGATAAGAGGTAGCATGATGTGGAGGCAAAAAGAAAGAGAGAGCGAAGCCATCAGCTGAGGTTTGCCAGGTCGATAAAGCTTTTAGATTTGGAGATGTTTTCAGGGGGAGCCCATTTCCTGCGGCTAAGAGTTGTTAATGGAGCTTAAGGAATTATCTTATGACTCTCGGTGTGAGAGCAGTTTATTTCAGCCGGACTCCGCTCCTGTGCCGGAGTGGCTGAATATGCTGCTGTCAAAGCCGCTTAATGAAAAGTAACGCGTCGCTGATTACAGTTTTATTTGGCCTCTATGTAAAAAGCGCCTGTTAATTTACCATCTCGTTCCCTCTGTGCGTTCGTATTTGTCATGGCTGAATGATTTAGTTATAGCCGGCTTCCCCTCCAACCACTACAACTCTCTCTAAGGATCAGTTCCCCCTCTCTCTCCCTTCTCTGTCCTGCCTCGCGTCTCTTTCCCTCAAACAGAAAGTCACTTGCTTCAGAGGCCTAATGAAAGATGTCTTTATGCTAAATGTAGGCTATTCCATATCGTGGCTCATCTCGTTTGATTTCAATGCGCAATTTCTACTGATACAAAGTGAATACCCCCAATTCAAGCAGGCTAAACAGAGTTACATAAAAAAGAATAAAATAAAGAAAGAAAGAAAACGTGGGTTGAGATTTTCCAGTAGGGCCTCACTGCGATGCCTTCCCTGAATTCTATTCTATTTCGCCAGTCGAATCGCGACGTAGCAAATAAAAACGTACACAATATATATACGCACAATATATTTATATATATATCCTTTGTCCGATTGGGTGTGCGGGGGGGCTCAATCGTTGGTGCTTTTCCCATTAAAATTCATCACAGAGCCCCCCCCCCCCTCTGTCTTCCCTCCTCTCACAGGACAGACAGAGTCCCCCGAGAACTCCACTTTCGCCATTACTGTCAAGTACCCTTGGCTCCTTTCTTTTGCCCTTTTATCTACAACAACTAATTCGAGTTCCTTTGCCCTTTTCACTTTTAGACGAGGTGAGTGCCTCTCACGTAAAGCCCTTGCACTTTTCAGGGGGAGTAATCAGCGTCCAGGCTGTTTTCTCCACAGCCCGTCTCAGGGAAATTGAGGGGTTAGTGTCAGAAAGAACACTTTTCACTTCAAATTATTTCCAGGGCCCCTTCGTTTTGAACCCCTTAATAGACGTCCGGTGAATAACTTACCCTTTTGACAGCTGCATCATGAACGATGTTGAGATATTTCGATAATATTATCACAGACTGGAGAGAGGGGAAATCAATAGTCTGTCATGAAATATGACTGTGAACATCCCAATTACAGGCTGTTTAGAAGGAATTAATGAGGCAGATCTTAGATACTGATATCGTTCTGTCTTGAGGCTTGGGTTTATTCATTTTCTCGCTGTCAGATGAGAAGGAATGCTTACTTTGTCGGATGGAACTTCGCTATTACGCATGTATTAGGGGGTAATGAACGAATATCTGAAAACAGAATGCCTTTTTTTTTAATAAAGGAAACGACAACGAAAATGAATTGTATTTCATTATCGTGTATAGGCCAGTATTTGGACGTTTTTCTGGAAAACTGGACGGTCGGTCAGTGCTTCAGCACCCTGGACAGCAGCATTAAACGCACACAAGCGCTCTTCAGAAACCGACTGCTTTTATTTTCAGTGAACAAAGTTGAAACGCTCCCGTCCATTTCATGAGAGAGCAGTGCATTTGTGAGATTTTTTTTTCAATCTTTTAACAGTGTTAATCATCTGCTGATATTTAAATAATATTCAATTACATTTGCATGCGAATAAGAAAGTAAACTCAAAAAAGAAAACTCCTGTAAACCTCGGGCCTTCAATTTTTTTTTCCCGAGCTGTCAAATGTCGGTTATACATTTCGATTACTTTTGTGCGTGCGTTGAAAAATAAATAAACAAAACTAATCCGGATGTTTCACTTCTGTAACTCCAATGTAACAATATGGCTACACTTGCTTTAAAAACGAATAAAACATACGTTAGGGGGAAACATGGAGACGCGATAGGCTTTTCCACACAGCATTCAATGTGAAAAAGTCTCTCTCTGTTTTTTGTTTTTTTTTACGTAAAGGGGGTCATTTGGTAATGTTATGAGCAGAAAAGTTTGTTGATATTTTTGGGGAAACTCATGGCACTATCTTTGGGGGAGTCTTGGTGCTGCTCCGCCTCCAGGAGGGCGCCTTTGGTGTTCGCGGTCCAGGAGACGGTGGTGTTGGTCAGAGCCTGGCTCAAAGTGCTGTGCCTGAACAAGGGGTCGTGGAAAACCCCGTCCACCCAGTTCCTCAGCGTGGTGACCGGCGAGTCCTGTCTGTTGTCCATGCCGGGCACGGGCGGGGTGGCGGAGGGGGACGGGGTGAGGGAGGGGGGCGGCGGCTGGCACCTCAGCATACAGGACGGGTACTCAGTCTGGTTCAGGGACGTGGCGGTCTGGGCCAGAGACCAGATCCGGGGCTTGCCGTCTAGTATCTGGTGCCCTGGCTGCTGGCTGTAGCACGACTTCGTCTGCGCTCTGCCGTTTGTCTGGAAGTCATCCGCGTTGGTTTTGAGGCAACTTTTGCTCAAGTCCTGCTCCCCTCCGAGAGAAACCGGGAGGGAGACTTTTAGAGACGCGTTCTTGACCAGGTGCTCTGCGGGGCAGTCGGATGTGGTCGTCGACATGTGCGTGTTCATGTGGTATCGGTGCTTCAGCTCACACTCGGAGCTCTCGGACTCCAGAGTGTCGAAATCATCCAAGTCGCTCAGCTGGAGGTCTTTATCAGCCCGACTCCTGGTCTCTTGGAGATTGAGAAAACAAAAGGAGACAGCGGTCATGTTACTGGGATCTATAATGTCACACAGCAGAGCAGAGCCAAACATTGATGTTTCTCCTAAAGCATTGTATATCTGAATAAGCCTGAACTAAAACAAATTAGTATCCCACAAAAATATCATTATTAGAAGAATCCCAACAATACAGATAATTGAAAAATGAACTAGGATTCTAAGCCTATGATAAATATAAACCCAAATCAGTCATGGAAAGGGACCTTCATCACTGAAAACAAACAATCATAAAGGTGTCAACAGCTGTGTTCCTTTCTAATTGTTTTATGATTCTCTGTCTCCAGATCTAGTTTTATCATGCTGACCAAAGTCCGATGGACTGTGGAGAAAGGTTCCATAACACAGTTTCACACACGATTTCTGTCTATGTGCAATTTAGTCATGACAATTTTTTTCTAATTCAATGACTGAAAATCTTTTTTTTCTGTAGAACTTTTTATTTTTCTTGCAAAGGGTGAAATATATCAAAATGTGGTAATGATGAGGGTGCAGAGAATCCTCACTAAAACACTAAACACTAAAACATTTCCTGGACCCTTTGTTATATAGTTTCACAGAAAACAGTCATCACTATCATTTCAAACATCATTTGTATAATCAAAATATCAGTTTATACCTTTGTAGAAAAAAGAAAAATGCAGTGCCTTGATATGCTTCTCAACTACTCAATCTTTGTTTAAAAAAAAGTGCAGTAATGTAGGTCAACACTAACCATCATCGTTATTTTCGCTTTTGATTTGCTCCTCCTGAGACCCATCCTCATCATCATCGTATCTTTTCTCCTCCGAACCCTTGTTCCTGGGTGGCCAGGTCATCTTGTTCTCCTTCTTGAGCCTCCTCCGGGCGTTGGCGAACCAGGTGGACACCTGCGTCAGGGTCATTTTGGTGATGATGGCCAGCATGATCTTCTCCCCTTTAGTCGGGTACGGGTTCTTCCTGTGCTCCTGCAGCCAGGCCTTCAGGGTGCTGGTCGTCTCACGGGTGGCGTTCTTTCGTCTTGTCCCCCCATCCATGGAACCATATCTGTTAATGAGAGAAACGCAGGCAAATCGGTAACGAGAGAGAAAATGTGGCATGCAAGGCTTGTTGCACGACAATTTAGAAAGCATCACCCTGGAAGTTTGTCTTTGCAGAACCATGACAGAACCATCTGCTTTTAAAATTGTTTTGGAACTGATGCGTTACATGTTTCTTTGGACTACAGCTGCTCTAATAGTCCTTCGTACATCAGTGCTTAAACACAAGGAATTGCAAAAGTTTATGTTGTCAGCTCATGTAGTTTCAGAGACAGTTTGGACAGTGTACACTGAAGGGAAAAGTAAAAGAATAACAGTTTGTCTGCCAAGCAAAGGATGCCGATAAGCACTATGATTCCTTCATGAGATGTTAATAAAATTCAAGGTGTGTGATTATATATATATACCTTTAGATATATTTAACTGGGCCAGGTTTGGAATGTACAACAATTTGCCAAACTGACAGGAAAGAAGGTGACGCACACTTTGTTTCATATTTCATTCTTGAATTTCCTCCAAAATATCCAATCGTTTAGTGTCAGACCAAAGTTAATAGCTATCAGCAACAGTTCAAAATATGAAAATGATTCAACCAAGTTTTTTCTAACTGTGACAATATAAAGCACGCCCTGTTTATCGTTCAGATTTTACCAGCATTTTGCCTATAGAAATGTTCATGCAGCCACATGTCTCTGTCCCCACTCATGCCTCTCTCACAAATACTAACCATAACCCACATTTAAAATGCATGGTGTTGATTTTCAGTCAGCAGTGAGCTGTAAAAGCCCTCTCATGGGAGTATTTTATCAGGCCTTTATTGCTCAGTATAGCTCAGTGCAGGTCAAACACTGCTAAGGGAATCAGAATGGGAGCAGCGTTCACCTTCTCTTACCCTGCCTTGTTCCCTCAGATAAAATAGACTGTAAAATTGCTTTATTGAGTGTAATGATGAGCCTTCAGGTAAAAGACTAGTGTAGACAGTGAGGGGCTCTTGTAGGCCTACTCTTCTATCTGAATGCCTGAACTTGTATTTGGGCATTTCTGGTTTGTTGTTGACTTACTTATTCTAAGTGACGCTCATTTTTCTTGATGTTGCAAAGGTAATTATCTATATGAGACACTACATCTTTACGTTTGCTCCGAATTTGTGATAATTCTCAGGTTTGATGTGTCACACATGGTACAATGTTTTGCGGTGTGGTCGGTTTTCACACAGTATGATAAAGGCATATGTCTTCTGGCATATGCAGCTTGGATGTTGCGGGCATCTTTAGAGGTGATGCGTATAACAAAAGTGACTGAAGAGTGAGGCGTCGTTCAAACCCCTTTATGCTAACCTTATCACAAACTTAATTTGCATGTTATTCGATTATTGGGAAGACCTTTCATTATGGCAGACATGCTGTTCACAGAAGTGAAGAGGCCTTTTGTTTTGATGACAGGGGCATAGGTCCTCTGAAGCAATTCTCCTGATCAGGAAAGCAGCATGTCTTGAGATGAAGGTGATCACCCTGCGCTGCTAGCTTTGATTAGAATGGCTTTGAACCTCTCAGAAATGATTGATTCAGTACTGACAATTTCTCCTCATACTACAATGAGAAACTGTAAGAGTTAGCATTTTCCTAAACTTGACTTATTATTGTTTTTCACACTAGAACATTTGACAAACACATTTAAAACAGTAATTTCTGTTTACAGACTTTATGGCTCAATTCCGGCCCTCGCATGCTTGTGGATGTGAGCTACAGTGTCTGAGGGTTAAAGCTAATCACATGAAGTTTGATGATGTAAAATAAGTTGTCATACACACTACATACCTGTCGTACTGATACTGTCCCAGTGCAGGATCATATGGGTAATAGGCAGTTGCCTGAGTTATTCCCGCATGCGCAGAAGCCGTTGCATCTTTAGTATCAAATGCACCCTGCAAATCACACAAAAAAACAAGCGTTTTAGGAATCAAAGAAATTGGAATAGAGAATATTCACAGACTCACTTGTAAAAGAACAAAACATAAGTTAAATGTTTTGGAGCTGATTGTATTTTCAAGATGCTGGCTGACAATTACAGGAAAATCTGCGAGAAAATATATTGCTTGATGAAAAAAAAAGAAGCTATAGCCATGAATTATCTTTAATGAGTGCATATGTTTTTTAACCAAATACATTTTTAAGATCTAAAAATTCTATTTTGTGGCAACAACAGCATGGCTTCTTTGTAAAACACTGATATTCTGGGACTCCGAATAACGAGTAACAAGTCTTTCTTGGAAAGTTAGGACAGAGCTACATATTTATTCATCACTAAAAGTGTTTAATTAATATTTGTACTAGTAGTGCAGAGACAAAAACCAACATAAAAACACCAAGTCTTGATCTTAAGGCCTGTGTATTTCTTCCCTTACTTACATTCCCTGTCAAAGCTTTAAACATAAGAAAATGGCAGAGACAATTTCAGATTTTGGCTGTTTTGTTACAAAAATTCAAACTACACTTGTGCTGCAATTTGAAAGAAAAATCACAAGAAAGCAGAGGTTGATTCTGTCCTGACTAATGAAAATTCTGTCTTTAAAATGAAAAATAAAATAGATCAGTTAGACGTAATAACATTAAGATAAATGTCATTTACTAAAACAAACGTCGTTTTGGCTGTTAAAGAAAAGCTGTGACAAAAAAATACCAACACACTGGATGTGGTTATCAGCACCAGGTGGTGAAGCATTAACAGAGGAGAGGATAGCCTCCATCATGTCTCAGCGCGCTGCCGCTCTATTAATCAATGTCACAAGGAATCAGATAAAAAAGCTTACCAGCGAGTAGAAAGCCGACGCGTCCGTGCCGTAGGTAACGTAATTCCCGTAGCCCTGGCCGCCGGTGTAGGGGCTCCCGTACACCCCCAGCGCAGCGGCGGAGCTCAGCTCATGCCTGGCCGTGGCAAGCAGCCGGCTCTCATATACCGGACAGTAGACCGGTGCCTGTCCGGATCCCGTGACGCCAGAATCGGCTATAGATCTGCCCGTGGACTCGCAGCAAGTGGTCAGAGAGTTGGTTGTCATCAGGAACTAAGTGGAAACAAGGAAAAAAAAACTGTATAACCTATTCATTTTCTTTAAAGATGAACTAAAGGTAGTGATGCATTTGGTCCAAATAGTCCAGAAGTTAGTTCGAAACTTTTTTTTTTTTTTTGCCTCACATTTTTTATAAGTGTGGAAAGCGGTTCAGTGAAAAGAGAATATCGTTCCAACGGTTTCACTTTTCATTCGAGTGCATCCTGGCAAAGTAATTTATTGACTTAAACGATCTCACCCCGTCTGGTCATTTGAAGATGCCAAAATCTGATAACTAAAAACGTGTGAAATTGCGCGCGTAAAACGTGTCCAAAACAAGCAGTCAGTTATCCTCCCTCCAGATAAAACACGTGCCTTCACAGATACAGCGTGTTTTCCGAACATTGCTCCGTATAACACCCAAAGTAATGCCCAAATGATTCTTATGGCTCAAAGCCAAGACAAAACAGCAGCTGGGTTACGGCGCAAAAAAAACACACACGGCGTGTGCTGAACAAGTTGGCATGTGTGTTCCAGAGCAGACAAACATATGGCTGACGTTACGCTGCGGCTATTATCTTACAAAAAAATCAGTGAACAGGAGGTCGGGGGTCTCGGAGGTTTCTGGTTACCCTCCTTTTACCCGGCAGAGACACAGGTATCAGTAGCAGCAACGCAATACCTCTCCGACTGCGGAGAAGACGGTAGGAGTCTCCCCGAATCTAGTCTGAAGTGCGTAAAAGGATCAGGCTTAAATCGATGAGAGTCAATGGCGATGACATAAAAAACAGAAAAAAAAGTCCAGGGAAATGAAACAAAAAAAATTATAAACTTGAACTTACTTGTGGAGCAGACGAATATGGATATCCAAATTGTGGATATGACATGGTAGAGAGGTCCCCCAATATCCAGAAATGAAGCGAGACTGAAGGTCTCCACGCGGCTGCAGCTCTGTTTGACTGTACCGATTGATTGGTAAGCACAGGCTCCTTGGATGCTTATAGGGCGAAACGGAGCAGCATGTTTAATTTGTGTAAAATGCCCCCCTCTCAAACGCCTTTCTACAGGGAAAATACTGCTCAAATTAAAAAAAAAGAAAAAGTGGGAAAAAGAAAATCTTACTACTCTCCCTGTCCTTTTCTTTTTTAAGTCTATTGGAAATGAATAAATGAATTAAAGTGACACGAGTCTCTTTACCCAGAATAATCACTTTGGTGTCAGGTACATATTTTTGCCTTATAAAAAAGTAGTATAAAAGACGTCAGCAGCAGAGGCAGGTTGTTTTAAACCGCGGTGACTCTGACGTCAGAAGTTTCCCACTCTCAAAATGACCAGACTGTAACTTTAATATGCATTTCCTTTCTCAGAGTGACAAGAAAGAAAGAAAGAAAGAGAGAAAGAAAACCATGCAGAAATACTTCTAAACGGGGCAATTTGGAGGAGAGACTAAGAAAGTTACGCCTTTTAACAGAATATATTTCGCTCCCAATCGATCAATTAGACCAACCAGTGTCTGAGAAGCGCAAACGTATGTATCACTTTGAATACATCAGGCCCAATTAAGACTATTCATTTCTATTCTGAACACTGAAGCCAATTAAGGAAGATAATTGGTTTTTAATTAATTACAAAATTCAGTTGTTTTGACAGAAATATAGAAATACCTATATTGATTTATTTAATTTCAATGTGTGTTTATCTATCTATCTATCTATCTATCTATCTATCTATCTATCTATCTATCACCCCTCCCTCCCTTTCTTCCGGGGGTTGTTGGTCAGGTTCCGTGCCGGTGCCGGTGTGCGCTGCTGCCTTGCTTGGAGAATCCCGGGTTGAGACATGTGGATAGCCCCAGGGGTCACTCCTCAAATTAATGATGATGTACTCCTCCTCCTCTTTCTCCTCCTCCCTCCTCCCCCTTTCTGTTCTCCTCTCCAGCTGGATCTCTGCCTGCTGGTGACAGGTCGATTGAGAGTGATTGATGAGTATCTGGGGGACCGGGGCCAACATAATAATATGATACAGGCACCTCGCAATAATTGCTCGCTTTCATTTACAGATGGAAGCGGTAATGAAGAGCTGTAAAGACAGAGCAGCTCGCGGTTCGGTTAAGTAACTTTCGCCTTGTTTTTCTGTCTTCCTCGCTTCTTTAATTTTGCGAGGGAAGCTGTGGGAGGGTGGGCTATATAAATTGTCTGTTCGCTCATTCATTTTGACAAATTGAATTATAGGGGGTGAGTACCTCCAAGCAAATGGCCGCATTAACGCGGCGAACAGGGGGGGTCAAAAGGGATCAGCCAGCCCTTTTTAATTTGCATTAACTCTAATGCCACCTTAACAACCAGTCTGAAGCGCTGAAGCATACACTCACTCAAACCTCATACTGCCTCCCTCTCTCTCTCTCTCTCTCTCTCTCTCTCTCTCTCTCTCACACACACACACACACACACACACACACACACAAGGAGCTCTATTTTGCCTTATTAATTTAGACTTTTTTTAAAGAAGGAACTCATTGGGGTTAACGTGACAGGCAGTGCATTAGGACAGGGCGGGACCCAATTGGTCTTTAACATCACAGTCTGAAGGAGATTTTTGGGAACTGGGAACGCACCTGACACACACTCTCCTCCTTCAGCTGTGTTATGCGGAGATACAAACTTCCAGTTAAGGCTTCTGTTGGTGTCAGTCGTCTGCATGAACCTACACAGGAGTGTGCGTGGAAGGTAAAATCTGAATGAGCGTCTAACACGCACACGGACCCCCTCCCCCCCGTGCATTCCGTTTCATTATCCAGTGCGTTATCCAGTGTTATCAGGTGCCTGTGATCAATTATTTAGACGCACCAGTGTATGCTTTTAGACGGGAAATGAAGGCGACGGCAAGAGTTCACGCTTGTTTAACGTTCAAAGATGAAAAGAGAAGCTTCTGTAGTTTCCCCCCTTTGAATGGATGTGGGGATACTGGGATACTCTGCCTGTGTAGTTTTGGCAGGACAAAGAAAGCCATCCTCATAATTGGAATGTATGTCTTGGTCCATACTTTTTTAATAGTCAAACCGAACCTGATTTTCAGCTGATGAATATCCTCGTTTTACTAATAATGTAGATGAATGGGAATCTTGAAGATGGCTGTACTGCATAGATTGGGACAGATACCTGTTCAGCAGTGCTCTAGTGTTGGGACATCCATCATCTTCAATGAGCAACATAAATCATCTCCTTCACTCACATTAGAACAAATTCGTAACAGTGCAGTATTTAAGTCTCACATTTTTATTTTTATGTCGGAGACAGAAAACGCACATTCAATTTATTGGTGCAGGTCCTCGTCAAGTTTCAGGCTCTGCCGGATGACAAGAGCACCAAACTGTGATCTGAAAGATCACTCAGCTGGGTTTTAAAGAGGGCCAGCTAATTTGCATCTCCTTTCCGACGAAACTCATAATACAAAGTTCCCTATAAGAACATTGTAATCAGGAAGGTGTCACTTTCGTGATAATCTATTGTTGATTAATGAGCCCCAAGGAGAGGGCGGCATGTGTGTGTGTGTGTGTGTGTGTGTGTGTGTTTATGTGTTACAGACAGACACTGAGGCTCAAAGACGGAATAAGCAAAAGCACATGATCCTAATCAAAATTTTCTGATTTGAACTTAAAGTGAGATGTGGAGCAAAGGTCAGCTATGTCAGTGACAAACTGACAGTGTCTTCACAGACAGTGAGGCCTTCTGCCAGATTTTTGTCTTTAGCTGAACACCAGTATCAGACATACTGAATGTGTTGGAAAACAGCGTTCTGTGGGGGCCCGCCTCTGTGGCTGCACGCAATTGTTAAAGCACCTTAAATCAAACTGTGTGGTTTGTGGGGGCACTTGATGGACTTACAGTACAAAGGCCCCTGATTGAATCTTAACCTCCAGTGTCTGTGTTATTTGAAAGGTTGTGAAGCTTGTTTTCAGTCAACAAATCACAGATCCCACGAGAAAAAAGAAATGCAGTAGGATTCTGCAATCCAATGGTATATCCATGACACGTTTGAGACCTATGGAGGAAAGTTGTCGATAAATAATGTTGCCGAGGTATAAATCTGAGGTTAAATTCATCTTATGTGATTTTAGGATTTAGTGTCAGGGTTACAGAAAAGTACTTTTACCCGGACTGTGCTGCCATAAAAGGATATTGCATACTTCAGCTGTTGAATTTGTGTAACTTCAATCCGGCATGCATGCTATTCTTTACAGGGAATCAACTCAGTGTGAGCTCTTTTTGCAAAACTAAAAGCGAGTGAGCGCTGAGATGGGAAATTTGCCTTGATCGTGTGTGGTTCAGCGGTAGTGCTGATGTTAACCTCTGACATGTTTAAACTCCCCAATGTGGGTTAACATCAGGTGAAAGAACCCAGTTGCTATTTTTTTCTTTTCTCTTTCCTTTTTGTGTCTTTTAGATTGAATGTGACGCCTTATGTTTAAAATGTTCAGCCCTTTATCGTATAAATGTTTTTACTTTTTATCACACATTTTTATGGTATTTGCTTTTTTAAAATTGGCTCTTGTTATAGTAATTATAGCTTTCATTCTAACTTTAAAAATGACATGTTTTTCTCTTTCACCTTTGATGCAGACAATGCTCCGATGCTCAGATGTCTTATGGTCCACTGTCTCATGCATTGTTTTTTGAGTCAACAAGGTAGAAACCAAGCTGACCTCAATAGCTGAAGACAGTTGCACAGACCAACTTGCTCTGTGACACGAAGCCCGGAGCAATTCCCAGGCTTTCCAATAGCTACCATGTTTCTCTTTCTCTTGTCGCAGAAATAACACTCTCACATTCACACAGAATGCTTATCCAGCACAACATTAGCCTATAGAACTGTAGAAGTCTTGGAGTCCAAATGGAATATTGATCTCTAACGATCTTCCCGAAGTATTTCTTATTTCTTCTTTCAAACAACACAATGACTTTTGTCCCCACTTCTCCACTTTTGGCTCCAAAGTCCTAATGGTTTTTGCATGAGCTGGATGATGAGTTGTACGTCTTCAGGCACTTTTCTTTTCTTTAAAAAATAAAGTAAAACTGGAGACTTCTGTGGCTCATGCTGAAGATGAATTGTGTAGTCAACAACATTGTCTGTCATCACTTTGAAATAGCCTTTGAAATAGTGCTTTTTATCAATTTGGTTAGTTTGTCATCATTGATCAAGGCTTACAGGGAAAGTTCTTCAAATCCCCTTTTTGACCCCGTCAAGTATAACTGAGAACCTCTACCACAGCAAATATGTAGTTACAGTGGAAACAGATGGTATATAACAGATGGTATTTAAGAGGGTAAAAAGGAATTGGTCCCTTTCATAATGCTGGTACAGGCTTAAAAGAAGGTGATGTTTAGGTAAGTGTCTTTGTTTAAGTATTAAAAAAAAAAGTGAACCCACTCTTTCACACCACTACAACAGCTTTATTTCCCTGTATTGGGATTCTGGTGGGATAAAGAAAAATAATAATTATAGCCTGAAGAAAGATTTACGTGACAACAACATAAAAATTGTTTCACACAGACAGTAACACTGATTTAGGGATGGATGTTTGTAAGACTTTAAAATATCCTCTTATTTAGACATTTAGCTGTAGGCAGTTATCTGAAGCATTATCAAAAGAAAACAAGAGAGAATTATGTTTTTTTTTCTAAGTTCATCTTCAAAATCAACATTTTAGTTCCTCACATGCATTAGAAGTACATTTCATGCTACCTACTGAGCTAAATGCAATGTGAAGGCAGACACTTCAATACATTTAGCAAGTTACGCAGCATTAACACCTTAAATGATGAGCATGCCCATTATCCCATTAAACATCCGCCATTATCCATCCAAACCATTAAAATAATAATATGTTTGATACAAGTCTACGCAGCCGTTTCTTTTTCAGTCTGACTTTCACTCCCATCCCTCCTGGTGTTAGTCCTTTTCAGCCTCTCTAAGAGGTTTAGCATGTCAAAGTTCTCTCAGCTCATACATAATTGATCCCATAACGGAGCATCTTCGCTGCACTTAGTTAACCAGCTATTTGCAG